GTTGATCAATAGATGGTTACGGTTTCCTGACCATGGACATTGGATGTCGTTGATAACGGGATCACATCATTAGGAGAATGATGTGATGAACAAGACCCAATCCTAAGCCTAGCACAAAGATCGTGTAGTTCGTATGCTAAAGCTTTTCTGATGTCAAGTATCATTTCCTTAGACCATGAGATTGTGCAACTCCCGGATACCGTAGGAATACTTTGGGTGTGCCAAACGTCACAACGTAACTGGGTGGCTATAAAGGTACACTACAGGTATCTCCAAAAGTGTTTGTTGGGTTGGCACAAATCGAGACTGGGATTTGTCACTCCGTGTGACGGAGAGGTATCTCTGGGCCCACTCGGTAGGACATCATCATAATGTGCACAATGTGATCAAGGAGTTGATCACGGGATGATGTGTTACGGAACGAGTAAAGGGACTTGCCGGTAACGAGATTGAACAAGGTATCGGGATACCGACGATCGAATCTTGGGCAAGTACAATACCGCTGGACAAAGGGAATTGTATACGGGATTGATCGAATCCTCGACATCGTGGTTCATCCGATAAGATCATCGTGGAACATGTGGGAACCAACATGGGTATCTAGATCCTGCTGTTGGTTATTGACCGGAGAACGTCTCGGTCATGTATGCATGGTTCCCGAACCCGTAGGGTCTACACACTTAAGGTTCGATGACGCTAGGGTTATATAGAAAGTTTGTATGTGGTTACCGAATGTTGTTCGGTGTCCCGGATGAGATCCCGGATGTCACGAGGAGTTCCGAAATGGTCCGGAGGTAAAGATTTATATATGGGAAGTCCTGTTTTGGTCACCAGAAAAGTTTCGGGTTTTATTGGTAACGTAACGGGACCACCGGGAGGGTCCCGGGGGTCCACCAAGTGGGGCCACCAGCCCCGGAGGCTTGCATGGGCCAAGAGTGGGAAGGGACCAGCCCCTGAGTGGGCTGGTGCGCCTCCCACAAGGCCCAAGGCGCAACTAGGAGGAGAAGGGGGAAACCCTAGGCACAGATGGGCCTAAGGCCCACCCTAGGGCGCGCCCCCCTCTCTCCCTCTTGGCCGCCCCCCTAGGGGTGGGAACCCTAGAGGGGGCGCACCCTCCTCCCCTTCTCCTATAAATAGTGGGGGTTTTGGGCTGCCCAAGACAAACGATTTGATCTCTCCCTGGCGCAGCCCTACCTCTCTCCTCCTCGTCTCTTGCGGTGCTTGGCGAAGCCCTGCTGGAGTACCACGCTCCTCTACCACCACCACACCGTTGTGCTGCTGCTGGATGGAGTCTTCCTCAACCTCTCCCTCTCTCCTTGCTGGATCAAGGCATGGGAGACGTCACCGGGCTGTACGTGTGTTGAACGCGGAGGTGCCGTCCGTTCGGCACTAGGATCTCCGGTGATTTGGATCACAACGAGTACGACTCCTTCAACCCCGTTCTCTTGAACGCTTCCGCATAGCGAGCTACAAGGGTATGTAGATGCACTCTCCTTCCTCTTGTTGCTGGTTTCTCCATAGATAGATCTTGATAACACGTAGGAAAATTTTAAATTTCTGCTACGTTACCCAACAAGTTTGAGGGGTTCAAAGCCGTAATATGCGCCGTATGACATGATTTACGTACATGTGCACCCTTGTTTTGTACAGAAAAGAGAAAGTGATAAGAGGTCACATGCCGCGGAGGTAGTGCAAATGTATCAACCTGGGGACTCGTATGATTGTTCATTAAATACATTGTGTGCGTTCTTCGGTCTTCCAAGGCTTTAAGAGCATCTACAATCGGACTTCTTAAATCCGTCTCAAATGCTCGAACAGGCCGTCTAGCCATTGTCTGGTCATGATTTTTTGACCCAAACAAGTCTCTCATACGGTCCTCAAACGCCCGGACTGGCCGGCACTCTCTATATCCAACCCAAATAAAAGGTAGATATGGGGCACCCGGGTGCATCCGGACACGCCCGCCACGTCGAACTGATGGAAGGGTCCCAGCCGAAAACACCCACAAACCCGGCGGTCCGAAGCTCGTCTCCTTCTTCGGACCGGTGGCGCCGTGTGGTGCAGCTCCAGCGGGCCGTGTAGTGCATTGCCCGACTATTTAAGTCGACCAGCGGCACCGAAACCCTACCATCCATCCACATTTGTCTCCTCCTGTCCGCCGCCGCCCCCACTTTCCACTTCAACCGTCCACCTAGTAGCCATGCCCCCACGCCGTCGGGTGAGGAGCGAGCCCTTTCTGACGCCGGAGCGCCGGCTCAAGCTCCTTGAGCAGATCCGGGCAAGGCGCGAAGCCTGGATCGCCGCGGGGCTACCTTCGGATGCAGTGGATCCGAAAGAGGAGTTGGAGGAGAAGGAGGGGGATGAGGAGGAGGTGGAGGTGGAGAAGGAGGAGGAGGAGGCGGAGGAGGAGGATGTGGGGACACTGGTGACGGGGATCTGCAAGCGGAGCAGCAAGCCATCCTCGATTCCCTCCGGTCAGAGTCCGGTGCGAAGTCAAGACGTCGTCGCCGGCAGGAGATGGAGGTGCAAGAGGCCGCGGACGAGGCGAAGATGTTCGCCTACATGGATGAGGTCGAGTAGGAGGAGGATGAGCCGGAGCCCTCCTACCCGCCCGTCCAGTCGGCGCCCGGCACCGTCGTCGTGGATATCTCCAACGACGAACAGTGGCTAGAGTAGTACATAGATGTAGTATGTAGGATTACTTTGATATGTTTTATACTATGAATTTAGAAGGATGAAATATGAGAAAGACGGATGTAAAATGGTTCATTTGAGGTGCCCGTGGACGCGAGCCGGATTTGCAATGTCCGAGTGTAGATGCTCTAACGACAGCCATTACGCCACTGGCCTGCCCCTGCACAAACCGTTGCTGTCACGCGCACGGAGCGGCGCCGTATTTTGTGTCGCGGCGCACGCACGGAGAAGGTCGCCCGCCACCCCGGGGATTCGCCCTGCCGGCCACGCTTCCATGCATGCACTTCACAGCCGTGCGCCTCGACACTCCGTTACTGCGTGCACGTAACCAGTCTGTACATGTCCGCCTCCCCGACACCGGTTGACCATCGCCCAACTCATCCAGCCGAAACCCCGTCGATTTCGAGCTGGAGGTAGCCACTCCGATCAGGAAATATCTGGACAAGATCCTGAGGCCAACTTCACCGTGTGACTCTATCCTGTCCGGCCCCGTCCGTTTGGGATAAAAGAGATAAAAAAGACGGCCCAGCGCGCGGGAGCAAACGGACTTTTGTCCGCTTTGTGTCCGTTTTCGACACATCCCTGGCCCAAACTTGCGCCGGTTTTGGGGTGAAACGGACAACGCGCGGACGGGCGGACGCGCGCGCTTGTCCTCCCCTGGCCCGCCTGTCGGTGGGAGAAACCAAAAAAACCCCGACGGCCATTTGGCGCCATTTACCCCAAACCCTCCCACGTCCCTCCCCCCCTCTCCCCCGTCCATGGCCGACGCCCCGCCGAGTTCCGGCAACCTGGCCGTCGACCCGACCGCAAAGGTGAAGAAGAAGGCGCCAAGGAAGCCGCGGTCGAAGTACACGCCGGAGGAGATCCTAAGTTGGACGCGGAATCGGCGAAGAGGAGGAAACGGAGAGCGGCCGTCAAGATGAATGCCGCTGCGGCCAAGTTCGCCGCCCAGCGCGAGGAGCTGGAGGCCGCGCGGCGCAAGGCCGCTGCCGACGAGAAGGAGGACTTCGTCAACAAAGCGCACGCCATCCTCATGCTTGGCATGGGCCGTCCGGCGGGGTTCCATGCAGCGACCGTCGGCCCGGCGAGCACAGGCTCGTCGGTCGCCCGGCCTACGCACTGCCAGTCGCCGACGTCGCGCGCCGCGCCCATGTCGCCCGGCTTTCCTCCACCCAGGCACGACGGCCAGACCCGTTTCTCGGCGTCGCCGGACGTGGGCTTGTTCGCGCCGTCCACACCACGCCTCGCGGCCGTCATCGGCCTCAACGTGGCGCCTGGGTCCAGCAGCGGCGGGCGGCCTTCCGTCGAGATGCAAATGGCCGTCGGGGCGTAGGCCGCTGGCTTTGTTGCCGGTGTGATGAACTCGGGTCGTGAACTGGGGCTTGGCATTTGAAACGTTCCTTTTTTTAAAATAGACGCGGACAGGATGGGGCAAAAGGATGCGGCCGTGCGCTGGGCGCACGGCCACCGCGTCCCAGGACAGGCCCGGACACAACTCCAAATCTCTACCCAAAAGGATAAAAATCGGGTAAAACGGATGTCCGTCTGGGATCGCGCGGTGGAGTTGGCCTGAGGCGGAGCCCGACGTCGAGGCGAGGCGCACACCCCGACCCAACAAGCCCCACGAACTCCCACACGCAATCCCGCCAATCCCCACGCAACACGGAGGGGCGGCGCCGCAGCAGATTCCAGATCTACTCCACTTCGCACAGTACATGTTCCAGGGCCTGCCAGAGATTCCACCCCACGGACGGGAACGGGATCCAACGGAGAAAACAAAACGGAACGCATGAGCCCAGCCAGAGCCAGCACAAGACATCAATCATTACTCGTTGCATTCTTTAACAATGGAGCAGCAGCAGTACATTAATCTTACAGAAGAAAAAAGAATAGAGTAGAGATTACAAAAATCAGCCCAGCCGAGGGAGCCGCCACGGCACCGCCACATGCACGCCAGCCTTACTATACATACAGTTCCACTCCATGGTGGGGGCAGGAGGCGGTAGTACCCTAAAATACTACGTGCTCCGCCGCTTATTATTGGCGTGGCGTGCCCCCGGTCCCTCCCTCCCCCTGCGTGCATGCATCCCTAGGGCTCACATTACACATTTAACTAGCCCTGGGAGCAACAATGGCTTATTTACTTACCATATTATAACAGTAGTAGTGGTGGTAATACACAATTAAGCATATTAATTTAATGTAATTAATCCAATCCCCATTTGAGAACCCAGCGCCTGCATCTGGAGCTACTTAATTAGTCGGCCATTTTTTGATTTTTAGGGTGCATTTTTCGGAGCAGGTTTTCAGGCGCGCTTTTTGGTGGGCGCGCCCGCGGCGACGCCGGCGTCGGCCTGGGCCTGGGCCTTGGCCTTGTGGGCGGCGGCCTTGGAGCCGCTCCAGTTCCGGCCCTTCCTCTTGGGGTGCGCGGAGCCGGGCGTGGACCGGGGGATGAAGACGCCGGTGCCCTTGCTGCCGCACTGTTGTTGTTGTTGCTGCTGAGGTTGCTGATGCTGCTGCTGCTGCCACGTTCTCCCGGCGTCGCCGGCGCTGTGGTTGGCGCCGTAGCTGGCGGCGTGGTGTAACAGCGTGTAGGCCGGTGGCGCCAACATCGACGGCACATGGGGCGCCATGGACATGGAGAAACCCTGGACGATTCCGAATCAAAAAACGCATAGCTGTTAGTGTCGAGCTGCTGCACATGATCTGATGCGATGCGATCATGCCATCGTGCATGCATGTAGTGACTTACTTAAAAGAAAATTAAGAAAAATCGGGCGTCCAATAGCTGTATAGCAGGTGGCGGCAACTAGCTCATTAAGGTCGCTACTAACTCATGGCAACTTGCGTGCATGCAAAGATTTCATCTCAGCGCTAGCTACTCGATCTTGTCACGTAGCAGGGATTTTATTCTATAAAAAAAGAAACGAAAAGTGCTTGAAACATCATATTTGTACGTAGAGAAAAGAATTTTTTTGTGTGTGTGTGTGAAAAAGGAGGCTTGCCCCCGGCCTACGTAGAGAAAAGAAAAGGGGAGGAAACAGCAAACATGCGGTACGAGTCGCATGATGAAGGGTTTGTGTGCAAGCAATATGGAGTAGACAGATTGGAGGCTAAGCAAAAGTCCAAACTCCAAAGCAACATGGATGGATCACTTGGTCGTATGCAACATGATAAGTGTCTGGACGATCGATTCTACTCCTAATCCTACTAGTAGTTAAAAACAATTGATTCTTTGTCAATCATGTAGGGTGAGTGGTGACTGTGCTACTACTAATTCGCACCGTCTACGTATGGGCGACGGTAACTAAGTATTAGAGTAAACTGGTTACTTAACGAGGGGGTTAAAAGCTACTAGTAATCTTTGGAGCGGTAAAGTACGTGGTAATTACGCAGCGCATGGTAGAGAGGGGACATGTGCGGCGACGACGCGGATCGTCTACAGCCATGCGTACGTGGGGTTGCGCGGGCGGGCGTACCTTGCAAGCTTCTACTTGAGGAATGGCTAACGAGAGGGACATATGTTTCTTTCTCCGTGGTTCTCAACACGAATGAGTATCACTAAGTGCACTGCACATCAGGGGCTGACCCTTTCCTAGCTGATTAGTTGGTCTCTACTCCTTCCTTACTGGTGATGCCAAGCTCACTTGAGAACTTGAAGCTTACTACAACAGTCCCAGCAAAGAGTGCCGCTCACACACAACTCTTTCAGAATTTCGGTGGATTAATGCAATCCAATCCAATCCAACCCGATCCAAGCCAAGCAGGCTCTTCATTAGTAGGCTTAAATAAAAAGGATTTGTCCACCGTGGCAGAGGGCCCCACCCGCGGAGCAGGATTTGTGAACAACAACTTACGAAAATGGTCAATTTCACAGAAAAGGTGTTTGGTTTCCTCTAAATGCACCGGCTGTCGTTCACTGACGTGCGCACGAAAGGTACATCCGTGCGCGCCCATGTAAACTCCTGGCTGGCTGATGGCAGATGCTTATCCATCAAAAATTCTGCGCGTAAACGAAATTCTGCGCGTACGCTCATGCAACTGGGCCAGCGACAGGCAGAGGCAGCCACTCCATCCCCGGATCCGCGCCACCACCATCTCAATCAATCAATCATCTAACTAACTACCACCGTAATTCACAGCGGGCGGCGTAAGAACAACACATAGCGCCTGCGCACATGAGGATGCTAGGTAGGTAATTATTGGTGGGACAAGGCTGTTGCTTATGCCAACTGAAGAACTCTTGACATGGTTGGACACCACGAAGGAGGGAGGAACGAACATGGCCGCTCATGCATGAGCTGCCTTGTCTTCTTCAGCTTCGGCTCTCCGCTTTTAATCGGGGCAACGGAAAAGTATGATGGTTTGGTGTGATTTGATTTGGTTTGGCCGTGTGTGCAAGCGCAGCCATGTCGTGTGGCCGTGCTAGCCGCAACTAATACTCCCTCAGTCCGGAAATACTTGTCATCAAAATGGATAAATGAGGATGTATCTAAATGTATTTTGGTTCTAGATACATCTCTTTTTATCCATTTTGATGACGAGTATTTCCGGACGGAGGGAGTAACAGGTACCAAGTTGGTACTGGCGCCACCAACTAACTACCATACCAATCGAGGAGAGAAGAGAAGCCCCTAGCTAGCCAGCCAGCTGCAAGAACCTAACGGAAAGAAGCAGAGCTGACCCACCCGATCGATCGATCGAGCGAGCGAGCTCGGTACCTCGCCACACACGGCATGCATGTAGATGTAGCCCGCGGGCGGGAGAAATGACAGGGCAGAGCAGTAATAAGCCAGGAAGTAAGTAAGTAACTCACCGGCGGGAGGTGGACGGCGGCGGGGAACTGCGAGGCGGCGAAGTCGGCCTCGTCGTCGTCGGTGATGAGGAGGGAAATCCGCTTGCTGAGCTCCGCGAAGAAGAGGTCGTCGTCCAGCTGCATCTCCACCTCCATCTTGCTCCTCTCTTTGGGCTGAGGTTGCTTGCCGGAGTTGGGGCGGTTGCTTGACAGCAGAGGACGGACGGAGAGGTGGAGCAGGGGAACAGAGAGGCTTGGTGAGCTCGGGCGCAGGGGGGCGCTTTAATAAGATTTTTCCAGGGCAAGGGCGAGCTCCCTCGGGGCTGGGCCGGGGTGGGGTGGGGCCGGTGGAGCAGTTGGCCAATCCCTAGTTGGAAAGGTGGTGGGCCCCACGAATGTGCGGGCGCCTGCCGCACACACAATCTGGTCTCTGCGGTGAGGTGCGCCCCACATCATCGCCCCAGACACACGGGGGCCCCGCGCGTCAGTAGTATTTCTCTAGTACTCCCTTCGTTTTTATTTAGTTCGCATATTAGCTTTGGTCAAAGTCAAGCTTTACAAATTTTGACCAAGTTTATATAAAAAATATTTAGATATACAATAACAAATCAACAATATTAGATTTATTATTAAATATATTTTCACATCGTATAGATTTATTATGATAAATTTCTATATTGTTTTCTATAAACTTAATCAAATTTTATGAAGTTTGACTTCAGTCAACTCTAATATGCAGAGTATAAAAACGGAGGGAGTACTACTAGTACATGCTCCGACCCCGAAGGAAAAAGGAAAAAGGAAAAGGAAAAGTGACCCTGTTGCAGATGGAGGTGGCTGCGATCACGGTGACGACGAGCTGCTCGATCCACTCTATCCGTTTCTGTTTCTGGTCAGACAGGCGGACAGGGACGATGGTTGGATGATGGGTTGGATCTTGGATGGACGGCACTCCACGAATTCGAGCCGTGATCGTTCCAGGCACCGTTCGTTGTCGAGCGAACGGTTCCAACGCCGAATCCATCCGCACAGTGTTTTTATTGGATCTGGATCGTCGGAATCCCAGGAATGAAGTCTGGATCCGGTGACGCCCGCCAGGGCCGCCGGACGGGCGCAACCAATCCTGTGCGCGAGAGAAAGTGACGGGTTATTATTATTATTATTTAGTTATTATAAGCGCGGGATTATCTTTGTTCCTGGATGGAATGGAGGAGAGGATGAGGGGGCTCCGGCGCCGAGTAGGCCACCGAAGCCAGCCGCACCGCGAAACCCGGGCTTCACGACGGCACGCACCGCCGCAGCAGCACCGCATCGTCCGCTGGCTCTGCTTGCCCGCCTGCCCACATGGCCGCCAGGGTGGGGTGGGGGCGCACCACCGCTGCCGGCCGCCCGTCCTCTTCGGCCTGTCAGTCAGTCAGTCCCCGGACGGCGGGGCCCGCCTGCCCTCACCTTTTCTCTGCACCTGCGAACGAATGAATGAATGACCGCATCTGCATCAGCAGGCTGTACCGTGATGCGATGAGCCGAGGCCGAGCTGATCCAAACACAGCACGATTCCCGAAAGGCTGGCCATGTCGCGCCCCTCTCTTCTCTCTCTAGCCGTCACGGCAACTCCTAATCAAGCGCATCGCATCGCACTAAACAAGGCATTTAAGTACTAAGTGCACCGCCAAATCGCATTTAGGTCTGCAAAATAGTACTATTACTGTAGTACTGCTGCTGTTTTGCAGCCGAGGTGGTGGTGGTAATCATCGTCATCATGAGAGTGGAGAGGGAGAGGGAGATCCATTCCAGGAGTCTACAGGGCGGCAACAGTGGTTCCCATCATGGGCCTGGGCAGGGGTTGGCCGCTGCCCCTCGGTTCCTATCCGAAACCCCCGGCCCCGGGGGATTGGATCGGATCGGATTGGATGAACCACCTAGACCTAGCCAGCCAGCCAGCCACCGAACCGGCGCCGATCAAAGGCAGCGCGCGCTCCACGTCCTGCTCCTCCCACTGGGGCGGGACTGGGGCTGGGCTGGGTGGGGGCGGCCGCCCGAGGCCACTCGCTACGCATTCTGTTTCCATGTGCACGTTACGTTAACCCCACTTCCCTTCCGTCTGAGGAGGGCGCGTACGTACGGCCACGGGCGTACGGCGAGCCGTTTTTGGACGGGAGGAACGACTGGTGATGCCGCGCGCGTGCGCTTCTGTGGCTGCCCGCCGCCCTCCCGTTGGTCCAAGCCGACGTCCTTTGGATTGGATGGATGCTTGCGCGCCGGTGGCTCGTGTGGTGGAGTAACTTGCAGCGCCGCCGCGGGTGCCGACAGGCGACAAGTAGGGGGCTGGCCGGCCGGCAGCTGTGCGCGTTGTGTGCAGGCTGTCAGTGACCAGCGACCAGCTTGGGAGAACGTGTGCCTGCGGGCTTGCGGCTTGGCTGGCACTGGCCGGCAAGTTGCAACACAGGATGCATGCGAGTACCTACCTGCAGCAACGGTGGGTCGGGATTGTGAGCATCCCTCGGCACGTTACCACGGCCCATGCATGAGCAGTCGGCAGAGTAGACGATTGCTGCCGTGCGTACGAGAGCAGTAGGGTTTCCCAGGTATTTCTGTCGGCACTGTTTTTTTCGAGAAAACAGCAAGAGCTCTGCCTTTGCATTAAGAAGAAGTGAATTGGCCAGTTTATAAGGAAAATTGGCCGAAAATCGATACATCGATACACACCAGACCCGAGACTGCGTACCTAAAGAGCCGACTTCCCTGTCACCCAAACGACCAAAGTTGCCACTCCACCACACGACCTGGAGCCGCCACTCCAGCTTACAAACGACATAAACTCACACACGTCGGCCCCGAGGCCGCACTCCACACGAGTCGACGACTCTGTCGTCCACACGACCAAAACCGACACTCCACAGCACAGAGGTGCTCTCTGGAGCCGCCGCTCCGACTTTCCCGCCGGCCCCGAGGTCGCGTTCCGCCTGAGCTGACGACGCTGCCGCCCACGCGACCAGATCCGACACTCCACAACATAGCTTTCCGGAGCCGCCGCTCCGACATCCTCACCGCCCCGAGGCCGCGCACACGCCTGGCCGACGATGAACCCGCAAAGCCACCCGAGCCACCGTGAACTGACAAAGGACCAGACCTCCAACGCGTCGCCCCCAAGAAGGAAGCGACAAGTATGCCGCCGACGCCCGCTCCGACCAAAGGTCGAAAACTTGGGTTTTCACCTGGAGAGCCCGAGACCGAGGCGACAATGGTGGTGAAGGGGCTCCATGACAACGCCTCTAAGGAGGGAACGACGTCCTAGGACGCCGTCAACGTCGGCAACGACCGAGGTCGAGCTAGGCTTTCGCCCGGAGCTCACCAAATCCATTCTCACCGTAGTCTGCCCAGCAAGCCGTCTCCGACATCAAGCCGGCCGTCATCGTCCAAGCCACATGACCAAGCACGCAGAGCAGCACACCGCCGCCAACCACCACCGGCTGCAGAAACCACTGCAGCCCATCTCCCTCCACAGCGGCGTCGCGGATCTGGGCCATCCGCACAACAACACACCACCATGGAGTCCCCCGCCAGCTGCCGCCGAGGCCACCTGCGGCCGCCCAGCACGCAGGGTAGCACCATCGCTGCCCTGACCCCACGCACCTCCCCGCCTGTCACACCCTAGCTAGCCATGCATTAGAGTGTTGCATTATGTTTACTCTTTCATCAGAAACCTGAAATGGGGATGACAGAACCCCCAGTTCCCCCTGAAACCAATTAGGGTTTACTAAAAACTTTTTCAATGAACCTCAAATGCCCTTCTAAAATGCCCATCATTTTTGTCTTGGTTCAGAACCTCTGCCAAAAGTGATGCACATTTTCCTAGGCCATCTTAGGGTTTTTGAATTAAATCATAAATATTTGAATTTGGGCATTTAAAATTATATAAAATATTTAAATGCTCAAGTATCTCCAAACTAAAATGTTTCATGTTGGAAATAATCCAACTATGGACCAGGAGTAGTTTGGTGATTTTAGGAGTTGCCTAAGTATTTTATTTAATTCAACAAAGTTGCAGGAGTATTAAAAAAAACAGAAAACAGAAAGAAAATGGAAAAACTTACCTGACGCCTGCTCCCGGCCCACCTGCCGGCCCAGCCCAGCGCCGCTCCAGCGAGCTGCTTGCCGGCCAGGCAGGCAGGCAGGTGCCCGACGGCGACCGCAGCGCGCGCCACGCACCTGCTCGCCGCCTCGCCGCTCCCCTCGCCCGGTGACGTCGTGGATCGGCCTCCCTCGCTCCCCCGAATCCCCCAGACACCCCCTCTCCTCTCCAGCTCCTCCCCCTCGCGCTTCCCCGCCATGACCGACGCCACCACCGTCGTGCCTTCGTCGTAGCCGTGCTCCCCGCCGCCCGTG